GCAACACCATTCCTCTTCAATTTGTCATTCCCGGAATAGTAAACCATGTGGTTGTCAGATTCAAAATGGCCAATACCAGTCCATTTCAGCTTACTAATGCCTAAGATATCGATGTTTATGCATTCCATTTCATTTTTGACAATTTCCAATTTTCCTAGATTCATACTTTGTACAATCCATGTTCAGATAATTAATGGATGTTTACAGCTGTTTTTCTTCATTTTGAGTTGTGCCCCATCAGCAAATGAAGGTCCCATGAGCGTTTCTCCCACGAGCTTTACTCCATTCATGTCATTAAAGTCAACTCAACTTTGAGGAGGCAGCTCTTCTCCAGTCGCATTTTGAATGTCTTCCAACCGGATGGGCTCATTTTCTGGCAGTGTTTCTCTGCTATTCATAAAGTTTTCAGTGACTAAATGTTCAGAATTAGTTCATCACTTCTTCCTAGTCTGTCTTTGTCTGGAAGCCACATGCATACTGCCTGTAAAAATGTTCCTTTTTCAGATTGTTGTTGTTAAGTGCTGTAGGGTTAGTTCTGACTCATATTGTCTCTGTATAGGGTTTCCAAGGAGTGGCTAGTGAGTTTGAAACATCAACCTTGCACTTCAAACCAACCTTATGATCCAGTGCTTTATCCCACAGCACCACACCAGGAATTGGAAGGGAAAGGAGGAGGTGGCATCTTAAGTATTTACTTTCAGCCTAACCTTCCTTTTCTTGGACACTGGGTACTTTGAATTTGAATAAGCAGATTCTTTTTCAATTACTTAAGCAGTTGAGCATTGCAGACTTGGCTATGAATTTCATATAGTTGCAAACATTTTCTGTGCAAATGGTTTAACCACTCCAAACCAAACCCACTACCATTGAGTCCATTCTGACTCGTTGTTGTTATTAGGTGCCATTTAGTCGACTTATAGTGACCCTATGCACAACAAAATGAAACACTGGCCAGTTGTGCGCCATCCTCACATCTGTTATACTTGAGGCCATTACTGCTGCCACTTTTTCAATCCATCTTGTTGGGGGTCTTCCTCTCTTTCAAAGACACTCCATTTTACCAAGCGTAATGTTCTTATCTAGTGACTGGCCCCATCTTGTAACATAGCTGAAATATAAGAGGTGAAGTCTTACCATCCTGGCTTCTAAAGAGCATTCTAGTTGTACTTATTCCAGTTCATGGTACTTCCAATATTCTTCTCTAGCACCATAATTCAAATGTATCCATTCTTCTCCAATCATCCTTAGTCGTTGCCTAACTTTCACATGCATATGAGATAATAGAAAAGATGATGACTTAGGTCAAACACACCATAGTACTGAAACTGCTATCTTTGCTCTTTAATACTTTAAAGAGACCTTGTTCAACAGAGTTGCCTAATGCAATAAATCATTTGATTTCTTGACTACTGCTTCCATGAATATCCGTGGTGGATCTAAGCAAATTGAAGTCTTTGATAATTTCAGTCTTTTCTCCAATTATTATGATGTTTTTATTTTTCCAGTTGTGAGGACTTTTGTGTTCTTTGCATTGAGATGCAATCCATACTGAAAGGTGTATTCTTTAACTCATCATTAAGTACTTCACGCTCTCTTCATTTTCATCAAGCAAGGATTCCTTATCTGTATATCTGTAGTTATGAATTTTCCTCCAATCTTGATGCCATGTTCTTTTTCATAGAATCCAGCTTCTGTTATTAGTTGCTCAACATAAAGATCAAATAAATATAGTAAAAGGAAACAAACTCGGTGCACACATTTACTGATTTTAAGCCTTTCAGTATTCTCTGTTCTGTTCAAATAACTATTTCTTGCATTAAGTATAGTTTCCTCATAATCACAATTAAATGTTCTAGAATTCCCATTCTTTATAATGTTGTCCATAGTTTGTCATGATTCACACAGTCAAAAGCCTTTGCATACTCAAAAAAAGCACAAGTGAACATCTTTCTGGTTTTAGTCAAGACCCATCTGAAATCAGCAATGATATTTCTAGTTCCACATCCTCTTCTGAATCTAGTTTGAATTTCTGGAAATTCTTTGTCAATGCACTGTTGCAATATATTTGAATTATTTTCAGCAAAATTGTACATGCATGTGATATTAATGATATTGTTTCATGATTTCTGCATTCCATTGGGTCTTCTCCCTTTGGAATGGGCAAAAGTCTCTTCCAATCAGTTAGCCAGGTAGCTGTCTTACAAATGTCTTGGCATAGATGAGTGAGTGTCTATAGTACTACATCAGTTTGTTGTAAGATTTGTATTTCATGAATTCCTGGAGCTTTGTTTTTTGACAATACCTTCAATGCAACATGCACTTCTTCCTTCAGTGCCATTGGCTCTTGTTCATTGATACCCTTCAAATGGTTGAACATCAAACATTTCCTTTTGGTACAATGCCTGTGTATTCCTTTCATCTTCTTTTGATTTTTTAAAATAATTCAACATTTTTGCCAATAGAATCTTTCAATATTGAAAGTCAAGGCTTGAATCTTTTTTCAGTTCGTTCAGCTTGACAACTGTTGAGTGTGTTCTGTGTGCATTTTGCTATAATACTTGATTTTGATTTTTTTAGTTGCCCTTTGAAATTTTCTCTTCAACTCTTTTATTTCCTTATTTCTTCCATTTGCTTTAGCTTTTCAATGTTCAAAAGAAAGTTTCAGAGTCTCTTCTGACATCCATTGTGGCCTTTTCTTACTTTCCTGACCTTTAAATGATCTTTTTCTTTCTTCATGTATGATGGTCTTGGTGTCATTCCACAACTCATTTGGTTTTCACTCATTAGTGTCTAATGGATCAAATCTGTTCTTGAGTCGGTCTCTAAATTCAGGTGGGATATATTCAAGGTTGTATTTGACTCTCATGGATTTGTTTTAATTTTCTTCAACTTCAGCCTGAACTTGCATATAAGCAATTGACTGACTCTGGCCTTATTTTGGCTGGTGATATGGAGCTTTTCTACTGTAACTTCTCATTGTTGTACTCAATTTGATTCTGTGTATTCCATCTGGTGAGGTCCTTGTGTATAGTTGTCTTCTATGCTTTTTAGAAAATGTATTTTCAATGAGTAAGTCATCGAGTAATGATTTCCAGCATCATTTCTGTCACCAAAACCATGTTTTCCAACTACTGATTCTTCCTTTTTGTTTCCAACCTTTTCATCCCAATCAACAATAATTGTCAATGTATCCTGATAGCATGTTTAGTCAATTTCAGACTGAAGAAATTGATCAAATTCTTCAATATCATCATCACTGCCTTTAGTGGTTGTTTTGTAAATTTGAGTAATAGTGGTATTAATTGTCTTCCTTGTAGCACATGTATATCAACCTATCACAGACAGCATTATACTTCAAGATAGATCTTGAAATGTTCCTTTTGACAATGAATGCCCTTCTTCAATTTGATGTTCCTGGGATAGTAAGCCATACGATTATTGGTTTCAAAATGCCAAGAGCAGTTCATTTCAACTCACTAATTACTAAGCAATGTAATATTTTGACTCTCATTGACCTGTTTTAATTTTTTCCAGCTTGAGCAATTGATAGCCTGTTCCACAGTATGTCCCTGAATTTGTTTTGGCTGATGATATGAAGCTTTTCCACCATCTCTTTCCAAAATGTCATGAATTTGACTTCTGTGTATTCCATCTGGACAAGTCCATGTATTTTCTTCTAGATTGTTTTTAAAAGGTATTTGCAATTAAAAAGTCACAAGACCTCTTTAAAGTGTTCAAGAGCAAAGGTATCTGTTTGAGGACAAAAGTGCACTTGACCCAAGCCATGGTATTTTCAGTAACTTCATTTAAATGTGAAAATCAGACAACAAATAAGAAAGAACATAGAAGAATTGATGCATTTGAGTTATGGTGTTGGAGAAGAATATTAAAGGTACCATGAACTTCCAGAAGAACAAACAAATTGGCGTTGAAAAAAGTACAACCAAAATGCTCCTTAGAAGCAAATATGGTCAGACTTTGTCGCTGCTACTTTGGACATATTATCAGGAAGGACCAATCTCTAGCAAAGGACATCATGCTTGGTAAAATAGAGGGTAAGTGAAAAAATAGGGAAACCTCTGATGAGATGAATTGGCACAATAGCAACGGCCATGGATTTAAGATTAACAGAAATTGTGAGGCTAGTGCAAGACTGTGCAGTGTTTCAGAAGCTACTCAATGGCACCTAAGCATAACAACATTTCCTGATATTGATCTTTGGAAGTTTCCTTTTTGACAATTTCCAATTTCTCTAGATTCATACTGCATTTATTCCACATTCCAATTACTAATGGATATTTTCAGCTATCACTCTTGTTTTGAATCATGCCACCCACATCAGCAAATGAGCATCCTGAAAGCTTTGTCCGTTCAAGTCATTATGGTCAGTTCTGATTTCAAGAGGTAGCTCTTTCCCTTTCACATTTTCAGTGCCTTCCAACTTGAGGGACTCATCTTCCTGCACTGTCTGACAATGTTCTGCTATTCATAAGGTTTTCATCAGCTAACTGTTTAGAAGTTACCTGCCTACCTTTCATCATAGTCTATCTTAGTCTGGAAACTCTGATGACACCTTTCCCTCATGGTTGACCTTGCTGGCATTTAAAATACCAGTAGCATAGTTTCAGCATCACAGAAACATGATAGCCACCATAGTACAACAAATTGACAGACAAGTGGTAGATTCTGACTCATAAGAACCCTATATAGGTTTCTGATATGCTAAATCTTTATGAAAGCAGATAGCCTCATCTTTTTCCTGACTGTAGAATTTGATCTGCCAAACTTTTAGTTAGCAACGCAATGCCTACCCCATTGTGCCACCAGGGCTCCTTGCTTTAACCATAAATCCTGGAAAATCACACATATCTACCTTTCAATGCTGAGTCTGATGCCCCTTCCAAGGAAGCTGCAATGGTCCAAGGCTTCATGGGGACCCCCAAGGACTGCACTCTTCGATTCTAGAATTGGGGTGTGGGGAGTGGAACAACAATGACAAAAAATGTTCTTAAGATTAATATAATTCAGACAGAAAACTTTTTATAAAACACATATTTCAGAGGAAAAATGGAAAGTATAAATGTATTCTCTTCCTCATATTAAGAATGTATCTAAATTAGTTTATCGAGAAGAGAAGGGAGATTTTTGTAGGAAAACTTGGGACCAGACAGTGAAGAGGAGAAAGGGAAGCCAAGTTTATGGAAGAGGAGACTAGCATTATGTGTTGAAGGTTAATGGGTAAGGAAAGGTTAACAGAGAATTGGATGAGTGCCCAAATAGATCAAAATTGACAGTCTCCCAAGTGAACACTTCAGTTCCACAGCCTTCTTTGCAAACATGCCAGAGAATGCATCTTAAAGACTGCAAAAGGCAATTTAATGATCGTATTTCACTCCCTCCAACTCTACCCCCCAACGGGCTTGGTAAAAGGCACTCTGGTGGTGCTTCAGTTTAAGTACTGGTCTGCTCACAGCACTGTTGGCAGTTCAAAGCAACCAGTTGCTCTGCAGGAAAAAGATGAAGCTTTCTGTTACTTAAATACAACCTCACAAACACTCTACAGGGTCACTGTGGGTCAGAATCAAGTCAGAGGCAATGGGTTTGGTGTTCTACTTTCTTTCCGTTTAGTAAATATGTCATCTAAACTCTCTGCCAGCAAATCAATTCTGACTCTAAGTCATACTAAAAGACAGAGGAGAACTGCTCCTTACGGTTCCTTAGACTGTCAGTCTGTACCATAACCAGCGATTTCATTGGTTTCCGGTGGAGTGACTGCTGGGTTTGAACTGCCAACTTTGCAGTAAGCAATTCAACACTTAGAAAATATCAAAGATAGCAAAATCACAGGGTATATGCACTAAAATTAGAATAAAACACTGAAGCTTCCTGTTGATTATTTTCTTAACCATGTTGTTGTTGTTGTTGTTAAATGCCATCAAGTCGGATCCGACCCATAGCAACCCTGTACAGGGTTTCCGAGGGTGTAAATCTTTACAGGAGTAGAAAGCCTCATCTATCTCCCGTGGAGCGGCTGGTAGTTTCGAACCGCTGACCTTAAGGTTTGCAGCCTGATTCGTAACCACTACGCTACCAGAGCTCCTTTTCTTAACCATACCTTTGAGAAATATTTTAATATAATCCAAAACTATAATCACATATTGCTGTTGTATGCCATCAAGTCTTGATTTATAGTAACCTTATATTGCAGAGTAAAGTCCTGGTTTGGAACTTTAGGATAAGCACTAGACTATGACCCACAAGTTTAATGGTTGGAACTCACCAACCACTTGGAAATCCTATACAGGGTAGCTATGAGTTGGAATCTATGTTATAGAATGTAAGAACAACATAAGGAAAAGTGTAAGTGTACTACTGTGGTGCTGTAGGATATGCACTGAACTGCTAACCATAAAACTGGCAGTTTAAACCCACCATCTGCTCCTTGGAACCCCAGCACAGGGTCGCTTAACTATGAGCTATAACCGACTCCACGGCAATTAACAACAGGAGTCTATGACAGAGTAGAACTGTCCATAGGATTTTCTAGACTGTAATCTTTAGGGGATCAGATTTCCAGGTCTATCCCCCATGTAGCCCTTGCATGGGTTTAAACTGAAAACCTTTCAATTAATAGTGGAGTAGAGAGCTTAATCTTTGTATCACCAGGGATCCTTATATGACCCGGTAACTTCTTTCCATTAGTATGCGCACTGACTGCTTTCAGTATATTTCTTTGAGAAGGCTAGATTTCAAAGAAGATATGAGAGACTTACTTCAAAAGTTTACTTGGGGAGGAAAAATATCTGAATTATATGTCTTTTGTACCCATGATCAATTTCTGAATACTTATAAGAAGTGGAAGGGAATTAGACTGTAAAATGGAAGAAAATGAAGACAGTAATTTGAAGAGCTAAGCATAGCAAATGTCACACAACAAGTATTCTATACTGTATATTAATAAAAATGAAGTCTAAAGCACATGCTGAATACAATATGACTCCCAGCTCTACACAAAAATTGTTAACTGCAAAAAAGTTACCTTCTCATCAAGAAAAACAAGTTGTGGTTGTATGTGAAGCTCTTTTCCTACTTCTCCATCAGAAGGTTGGACTAGGACTGAAAGCATATAGGGCCGAATGTATAGCACGTTCCCAGTATTGAAACTGCTTGTATTGCTGGCATATGTGAAAATAAATAGAATAAGTCCAGAGATTACAAATATCATTTCAGTAGGTTTTCCCGTAACACATTATTATCAGTGACAATATTTGCATTTGTTTGTATTTCTAGGAGCTTACTACTCTGCTACACAATGCATTTATACCAAAGAATAACAACTATATATTTATTTTCATAGATTTCATTAGCCATAATAAAGGAGGGACTGGGAGGTTGAGAAAAAAAAACAATTTGTGAATTCAGATTTTTATATTGGAATCCAGGGATGGTTGGTGGTTCAAACTCACCAGCTGCTCCTAGAAAACCTGATACACGGTCACTGTGAGTCAGAACTGACTCATCAGCACTTAACAACAACAACACTGTTTATTATGATACAAAAAGAAACCCGCTCTCATCAACTTTGATTCATATGACTCTATATAAGGTCTCCAAGGCTGTAAATCTTTCTGGTTGCACACAGCATCTCGTTTTCCAGCAGAGCAGCTAGTGGGTTTGACCTGACGACCTTGTGGTCAGCAGGCTGATGCTTAACTAACTGCACCCCAGGGCTACTTTTGGTATGATCAGACAATAAAAGTCTTGGTGAGGAAAGTTATCAGAAGAAAATACTTAGGAAATAAGGATGTGTTCAACAGTATGCTGGTAAAACAATTCTGAAAAAAAGAAAGATCTTACCCTCTTATTTCTGTGGTATAAATACTCCCACAATGTTGCTGTTGTTAAGTGCTGTTGGGTTGGTTCTGATTCAAAGTGACCCAGTATCAGGTTTTCAAACTGTGAATGTTTGAGGGAACAGAAAGACTCATCTTTTTTATCCCTGCAGAGCAGCTGGTGGGCTCGAACTACCAACCTTGTGGTTCACAGTCCAGTGCTTATCCTACAGCACCACCTCACCCCCACCACAACCATTTCCAAAATAACTGCATGACGTCACTGAACATAGATTGCAAAAGATACCTGTGAGCCAGCTCCAGTAAACCTCCGTGTTACATGTTATAGCTCACTTAATCATCATAGCACGGTTTATATTCTCCACAGTGGGCCTTTCGCTAAGCAGGTTTAGCTACTATTGAATTAATTGACTGAGTCATTTTAATTGCATGAATCCCCTCAGTAGAATAATTAAGTGTTTCTCCATGTAGTTGGGAGATTGGTTCCTTAACACTGCCCATTCCCTCTCCATACCAAAATCTCCAAATGCTCAAGACCTTTGAATAAAATAGCTTAGTATCTGCATACAGCCTACCCACATCCTCCCATTTTTCCACACAAAGAGTAAGCAAATACAAAGGGAGCACTACTCAAACAAGGAGTGCTGGAGTGAGAGAGCGGATCTGTAGGATAAGCACTGGACTACAAGGTTGGTTTGAACTGCAAGGCCATTGGTTCGAACCCACCAGCTGCTGTGTGGAAACCCTATACAGGGTCACTATGGGTTGGAACGAACTTGAGGATCCTTAACCACACATCAAGAGTAGCCTAGGTACTACTCTCAGATGTTCATGTATTAACTCATTGCATCTTTAAAATGAGATCATGAGGTATGTACACTTATCATTCTATTTTATATATGAAGAAATGAGATCCAAAAAAGTTTTTTAAATAACTTGCCTCAGGTTATACAACTAATAACTGTTAACTAGTAAGATATGTGGAGTCCTTCTGTGGCGCTGTGAGTTAATGCACCAGAGTACAAAGCTGTTTGAACTGCAGGGTTGGTGGTTCAAGCTCACCAGCTGCTCCTGGGAAACTCTATACAGGGTCGATATGGGTCGGAACCGACTTGATGGCACTTAACAACAACAAACAACAATGAGTTATATTGTCTCTTTCCTCTTCAACCTTATTAATTATTGATTACACTTAGCAATAAAATAGGATTAATATAAAATATAATGATTACATAATTCATGATACCCCCATACATCTTTTACACAGAGTTTTGATTTTGGTATTTTTGATGACCCACTAACTTTATTGAAAGAATATTATACTTTAAACTCATATTGAAACCATACTTACTGGATCCATTAAGACTGAGGACTCACCCAAATCTAATGCCTGGGAATAATATTTAAACCTTGAACTGTAACTATCCCATGAAGCTACCACTAAACAACAGTTCAGCCCAATTAATAACGAATGTTTGCCTTGAGTATGTTGTTGCTGTTAAGTGCCGTGGAGTTGATTCCAATTCAGAGACCCAACATAGGGTTTACGAAGAGGGGCTGATGGGTTTGAACTACTGACTTTGCAGCTTAACGTTACCTTGCAGTACAGTGCATTATCCTGCAGCGTCACACCAGGACTCTGTCTTGAGCATAGCCTTCTTATAAAAGGAAAAATCAAAATAAGCTTAAACGGACACAGTTAATTTAAAACACAGATGAGAACCTTATGGGGTTGAGAATGGCAACCAAACAATACCGGTGGGATAGTGAGATAGTGACAGAACAGAAACTATATAACCAATGTCATTGAACTATTCACATAGAAACTGTGAATGGAATGTATGCTTGCTGGTATATATATTGCCATCAAAAATAAATATAATATTTTAAAAGAGCATTGTTGTCGTGAAATGCCGTGGAGTCGGTTCTGCCCATAGTGACCCTGTATAGGGTTTCTGAGGAGCAGCTGGTGAGATTGAACCACCGACCTTGCCATTCAAACGGCTTTGCAGTCTGGCACATTAACCCACAGCGCCACACCAGGACTCCCAAAGAACATTATATACCTATTAATTGATTAATTTGTGGTATTGTGGGCACACAACACATAGTTGACAATTAAAGTGTGTAGGATAACACCTTAATAACGACCATCCCTTAGTGAGGCTTACTGCTCCTGCAGAGATTTTAAAAGGCTTGGAAACCCTAGACAGGGTCACTATGAGTCGGAACCAATTCCACGGTATATAACACCAGCAACAACTTGGTAACTTATTGAAACAGCCTAAGCCAAGTCTAACAAGGCTTTAATTTAAACAACAATGACAAAACCCAGGTAGCTTATCAAATTAAATGTTTGTGAGTCAACTACTCAAATCCCTGACATTTTATTTTTCCTATGTGAGGAAGAAAAGAAAAGCTATTTATTTATCACGTAGGACATATGCTAAGTAAAGGTGAAGAATAGTCCTAAAAACTGGAAAAAATTAGAAAATAAAATGCAAAGGATTACAAAATGCCTTGCTTCTGTAGAAACCGATTCCCCACTTCCCTGGAGAATGATGGGAAATGTAGGCAGAGCAGAGACCCCCTTTGGTCACCTAGCAATTAAATCCCTGGTCTCTAATCTAGAGCCATTCCCTGAGAAGTCAACGTTCACTGGACCAATCATCATTTACTAGCTGGCTTAGTCTAAATGGGTAAAACTCCTTTCCTTTTTCAAGGGAACAATTTGAATCAGATTTTTTAAATGTTTAAATCCATGCTATCAATTCTATCTTTCTATGAGTCCTAGGTTATTGGAAATTCCAACATCCTTACCGGGTCCTAATTATCCCTTAACCTATCCTTTAAACTCTTTTTGATTTGGAGACAAGATGCAAGCAAGGAGACCTGGGCTAGGCTGTTTTAATAAGTAAAGAGACTGAAAGACCCTATCAAAGAGCCTGCCATAAAGTACACTGATGACTAGCAACCCAGGAATGGGAACCAACTGCCTGAAAACCTGAAGAAAGGCCCTTCCCTGACACACTTTAAAGTTTATTGTGAGCAAACATCTCTTATTAAATGTAAACAGCATCTCACTGGAGGTCAGAGACTTGCTGCTACAGCATATCCCAAGGTAATACCACTTTAAGCTCCACATAAACTCTTAAGCAGTTTCTATCCTAAAACCTGACCGTAGGTGGTACAGTTTTTTACGATATGTTATAATAGTGCAATAAATCTGTTAGCTTAAAATCGAATCTCCGTGGCCTTTTAGAGAAATCATCATTAAATGCAGGGTCCTGTTAATGATGCCATCGAAGTGAAATTGTTTAATCTGCTAAGGGGGTGAAAGGTCACCAAATGAATTTTTTATAATACATCAACTTGACACGCAATAGGGAAAACTGTAATAGATAAAAGCAAAGGAAAAGGGCACTGTCTTCTTCTGATAGGTCAATGGCAGCCAAGAGAGTCACTCATCCACTTTCCTTTCACGATGGGCTCCTTTTGCATTTAATATGGACACCCAATTAATACCTCAGCACCACAGACAACCTCATTTTAGGTGACTTATAGCAATTTCTCCCCCTTCCCTGAAATGAAAGTGATCACAATACATCATAGCATTGTGCGAATTAACGTTAATTGATTCAAGTTACCAAGCAATGATGGGCCACTTATATAATCTAGGCGTTATTGGGTGCTAGAAGGGATGGAGGGAAGATTAGATTCCAGTGTCCGTTGCTGTGACGACGGGAGTCACCTGACGCCTTGTTAGACAGTTGTAAGGTTCTATTGCTGGCCCCAGTGGGGTCGTCAGTAAACTGGAGTGATGTCCAAACATCATTACACGCTGCTCCGATATTAAAGCAAAGGGATTAGCAACTTATTGCAAGCAACCTGGATTTGTCATTGTGCTGTCCTTATCCAATTTCCAACCGCTAATGTGACTGTAGCCTGCAGGCAGAAGGACCTACAGCCAAACTTTAAAAATGGGGGAGGAAAGTTCCCTCTGATGTTCCCAGTTTTAACCACTAGTTAACAGCTTCTAGTACCCAGTCAAGTTCGTAGAAGAATTTTTTTTTTTCCCCTTATGACACCTAAGTGCTAACTGAAATAAAAAAGATCAAGAGAATTCAGACCTTTCCCAGTTCCAAGATCACTAGTCTCTGCTCTAACCTGTTTTCTGCCAGATCCAAAATATTTACCCACTGAAGGAGAGGACATTTGCATTTGCATGACAAACCCAGTAAAAAAAAAAAATGAAGATTGCTGGGTTTCCAAAACTGACTCAGGGCTACTGAGTACACTGGAGGTATGGTTGGTATTAGTGA